GAGGGGCTAGTCTACTATCTGATAAGCTTTTGCTTATCAGATAGTGGACTCTTACATCCCTATCCTGGAACTCTGCGTAAACACCTAAAAGCACTTGGCCACAGTAATACTGAAAAGAACAAAATGCATCCTTGGCGCTTTTTAGAAAATGACTTTTGCTGATGTTTTTGGATTGTCTCAGCATTTCCCTGTCTACAAGCCAAAGCTCTGATCCCATTATTTTGAGAGCTGCAAACTCCTGCATTTCCTCAGTATCAATTTAGCCATTGCAGCTTTACCTTATATTTTATACTCTCACCATGTAATGCATCAACTGATAATGAACAGGTCTCTTACAGTCCAGTTCTATAAGACAATAGTGCAGTCCCTGGCAGGATAGTGGAAGAGTAGGTTTATACACTCTGCAGTGCCATACCAGAATGAAAAACTGTAGTACTGCATTGCCTGTAGTATGGAACACTCTGTGACACCACTCAGAAAATAGAGTAGGCAGTGCGTTACTGTGATTTTGGTGCTTGAAATTAAATTGTTTCTATAAAATCCATTATCAGGAATGGATGCAGCAAAAAATGCCAGCATGTATAAATGAGTAAAAAATACAGCAAATGGGGATGTAACCCAAACTTCAGTGGGATTATTCATGTGTAAATATAAACAGGATTGTTACATTAGTGTTTGCAGTGTTGAGGCCTGTTTCATTAAATCTAAAATGAATTAATGACAACAAAGTGTTTTGTGATGATGCTGGAATGTTTTGTTATTTTGCTTTATATTTCATATTTTCCTATATACAGTAGTGCTTGAAAATCAGAAAGTGGAACTGATTTGATTGCTTTTATTGTCCAAGCTAAGTGGAGTTAGAAAATCAAATTTGACATTTTCAAATCCCTTCTGATTACAGAAATGAGGAAACATTGGTTATGAGGAAAAAATAATCTTACAGCGTCTCTTTAAAATTTGAGTGAAATAGAGGATAAAAGAGGGAATGATTTTGATTATAAATTTCAGAGGGGTAGCTCAGTTAGTCTGTATCTGGAAAAACTTAAAAAACAACAAATAGTCTTGCAGCACTTTAAGAACACAACAGAGACTAGGGATACTATTCCTTACCCAACCTAGGTAATAACCTTCACAACCTCCTCAGGCAAGGAGTTCCACAGGCTGACTGTGCGCTATGTGAAGAAGAACTTCCTTTTATTTGTTTTAAACCTGCTGCCCATTAATTTCATTTGGTAGCCCCTAGTTCTTATATTATGAGAACAAGTAAATAACTTTTCTTTATTCCTCTTTTCCAAGCTGAGAAGTCCTAGTCTCCTCATATGGGACTTGTTTCAAACCCCTAATCATTTTAGTTGCCCTTCTCTGAATTTTTTCTAATGCCAGACTTTTCTAAAATAGTATTACAGCACCTTAAAAACTAACAAAACATGTAGATGATATCATACGCCCTCATGGGCACTACCCACGACCGATGAAACTGAAGAAGTAGGTTGTACCCTTGAAAGCTCATGACACCATCTACCTGTTTTGTTAGTTTTTAAGGTGCTGCAAGACTATTTGCTGTTTTTTTTTTAAGTTTTTCCATTTGCTTATAGTTAGTAAAGAGTCAAACTTAAGGTTGGGTCTGCTTGTCTTTTTGTTTGATGACCATGTGTAAAGGTTATAAACAAGGCTGAACTACTTGCTGTGTACAAGTGCCCATGCTTATCGTAACCTTGCCTAAGGAGGTTGTGAAGGCTATTACCCAGGTTGGGTAAGGAATAGTATCCCTAGTCTCTGTTATGTTCTTAAAGTGCTGCAAGACTATTTGTTGTTTTTTAACCATCTGTTAGTCTTGAAGGAGTGGTAGAACTTGTGTGCCTTTCCTTGTCAGCAGAATGAGTGAATTGTGCTTACACACATTAGTTTCCAAAGAGGAGTTGTAACGTGTGTGTGTGTGTGTGTGTGTGTGTGTGTATTACCCTCATTTATTAAAA